TATAGTCAGGCCAGCAGTTGTTATTAGAAGTGCAAAAACTGGATTAGATATAGTCAGGCCAGCAGTTGTTATTAGAAGCACAGAAAGTAGTGTAGACTTAAAGCCGATATTAGTTATTAGAAGTGCACAAAGTGGATTAGATATAGTCAAGCCAGCAGTTGGTATTAGAAGCACACAGACTAATGTAGACTTAAAGCCAGCAGTTAGTAGTATACAAACATGGATGTATACAGTGTCAAGCCAGCAGCTCTTCTTAATATTGAATACACCACTGTAGACATACCAAGTCAGTTGTTGTTATTAGTATTGTACATACCCAAGTGGGCAAAGCCAGACTGGCAGTTATTGTTAGTACTTTATGTACTGAGATATAGACTTAGCCAAACTAGCATACATTTAAACTAATGAAGACATAATCAAACCAGGAGCTATTACAATCATACATTCCATGTTGTCATGTCAGTTGTTATTTCTTTGTGCATACTGTGGTGCATATTTGGTCAAATTAAAAGTGAAATACTGTTGTGTATACTTAGTCAAGTCAGCAGATTTTAACATTGTACAGATTATAGTATGGATGTAGTTAAACCATAAGTTTGTAATTTTTTATTATAGATTGTGCTTGTTAGATTTCTGTTGTACTGTAAGCTCTATACTTGGGATTTTGATTTATCTGTTATCTCTTTACCCTGAAAGAACAGTGATTGATCTTATGAAAAGCAGCCACTGTAATATATATTGTTTGTGTGTGCTGACTTGTGTTTTGTTACTAAGAATATTTATTTGTACATATATTTTCAACTTTGTGCATACTTACTGATTTCTGCAAACAGGTGTTTTATTATTCTATCTGGTTTGAATTATTCCAGGAATTCTTGATTCTGCACCACTACTGTTGCCTGGGCGTCATGCTCTCAATAGTACTCTTCTTGGAGGTAATGTTGCAGCACTTATCTGGTACATGATGAGTGACAGTCAGAGTGTTGGATTGAGCATGCTGGGAACTACCACTGCTTTGTCCACAATAATGGGTGTTACACTTACAGCTGCCATTGGAGGTTAGTTCTTATTTCTAATTAGATTTACAGTTGTCATTCTGTTATCAATTTAATATTTTTGGGAGTTTTTGTTTTTTTTGTATGTTGTGTTTGTTCAAGTTATATGCATACTGCTGCTGCTGCCCCTGGCCCATTCTTGTTGTAGATACAGCAGTTTTAAGAAACTTAATCATATTTTCAGTCTCTTTAACACTGTTAAATAATATATTATAGTATTCTGACAAAATATATCTTTTACTGAAAAAAAACAAAAAAAAAACCACTCTTTATCAGTTCCAAAAGGACTATCCGTTGCATAGAAAAACTGAGAAGGTTAATTTTATATTAATTTTTGATCTAATGATCCAAAGATTGCAAGTTGAGCATCCCAACCTCCAAAACATGCCAGCTCCTAAATGTTTTTAGAAAATTTAACTGTAGTATACCTATCAAAAATGAAAGGAACAAATTACTACAAATTAATATAATAAATTCATGTAATAAGTACACACACACAAACAAACATTTGAAACACACTGCTAAGACAACGTAATTTTATTGTGCTATTCACTGAGGTATATTTGTTGTATGCTATATTCACAGTTCAAGCCATGTTTTGGTCTAGAATTTTTTGTTTTGATGAGTACGGCTTCTCTTATACCCCCTGTTTGTGGTATTTGGTTCATTGTCAGTAACCTCTATTTTACCAAACTGTATTTCTTTTTAGCTAATTCAATTTTGTTTATGATTCACTTAATTCTTGTACATAATGTAATGTTCCACATTGTTGTGTTAAATGTAACATTCATATTTTAGTTACCTGTCACCTGACAAAGATCTTATGAATGAAATTTAAAGCTTATGTTTAATAAATATATTATGGGACAGCCCAAAACTTATCTTTGTAGTTTTTCATACTTTCTATCTTTATGTAATGTAGGATTTAGTTCTATTAGGTACATAGTTCATTACTGGAATTTTTTTGTAGTTTTTAAACATTTTTACATGTTCTAAAAAGTGTCAAATATGATTGTTCAATGTAGATGAAAATTTGGAAATATTAAATAAAAGCATTTTGTTAATTAACAACATGTATTAGGTAGTTTTCAAAGTGTGCACTTGAGGCTTCACATGTTGATAGAAAGTGATTTTAAACATAGAATACTTGTTGAGACAGTTTGTTTTTTCCTTTTTAGTTGTAGCAAGATGCTTTGCTTTTTAAACTTATCTCTTATTATTGGTATACTTATGGAGCATTTGCAATTCTTCTTTGAAAAAGAAAAATCTTATTCTTGTCATAATATTTTTAAAATATTTCATGGTGAAAAAAGAATATTGAGCTACACAGATTTATATATATTTCTTTAAGGTTAATCGCTCTTAAAACATTTGTATGATACACTGTATAGTATATAATAGGAAAGCAGTGCAAGTCGTGATAATCATAAAAACATTATTTAATGATTACGAGTTTCATGCAGGATTTTTCAGTGAAATTGAGAATAGTGGATAGAAAGTTATACTTATTGTAGAACTTCCAGGAAAAAAAAAATAATTTAATCAGTAGGAATACTTTCTAAAGTGATATCAGTTTAAATTAGAAGAATTACTTGAAAAGAAATGTGTGTATATTTCAGGAGCTGATATGCCTGTGGTGATCACAGTGTTGAACAGTTACTCTGGTTGGGCCCTCTGTGCAGAAGGGTTTATGTTAAATAATACCCTCATGACTATTGTGGGAGCTTTGATTGGTTCTTCTGGTGCAATCTTGTCCTATATCATGTGCAAGGTAAGCCTGACCTTGATTTAGATAGAAAAAGTCTCATATTGGCATTATGTTTACAAAAATGAAATCATAGAAGTAGATTATCTCGAGTTTGGGACATTTCGTTATGGACAGCTTATGACGTAGACTTTTTGTTGTGAAAAACATTTCATTATGGCATCCAAGTTACTGTCATATCCTTACGAAAAGCTTTGTTACAAGTGTTTTTTGTGATTAGTGAATTTCGTTACTAGATTTACTAAGAAGTAAAGTGTTTCCTTTTCAATCAACATTACTAGTATTTTTTTTTGGTGTTAAAGTACGTACCTTCGTATACATGTAAAATCTGATTATAACTCTTTTCAGCACATGCTCAGTCTTTGGGACCAACCTCATAACCATTTTGTGCTTGTTATAGTTTTCATGCTATAACTTTTAAATTAATAAGCGTATGTTAAAAAAAATCTGTGCATTATCAGTAAACATTACAATGCTTTCATATGCAAAAATATATATATTTTT